CCCGGGCTGGGGAGAGCCGGGAGCGCTCCGGGTATCCCGGGCTGGGGAGAGCCGGGAGCGCTCCGGGAGCCCCGCGCATCCCGGGCAGCGCTCGGCAGCCGCTGGGACAGCGCGGGTTGAGCTGATTCTCAGCGTCCGATGGAGTTGGGAGCACTTGCTTAAGGGCGATGCTTTGGAAGTTTCCACTGCGGGAGTCGGTTATGAGTAGAGGGTGAAACTTGAGAGAGTGTGGAGCGCTGCGGCTGAGTCTGCCCGTGGGACGGATCCCGGGTTTCCAGACCCGGCGGCTCCCGAGGCAGCGGGCTCTGCCAGAGTGACCCCAGCCAGCACCATAAGGGCTGATGCTTCGCCAAGCCCCTTGGAGGCAGTGGCGATGCTGCTGGGTGGGTACCGAGGTAAAAAAGGTGGGTACTTTACACAGTGTGACTGTGTAAGGGCAGTTCTTTATCCCATTGAAATGTAAGGAGGGAGAGAGAGCAAACAAAAAACAAAACAAAAAACCCCACCCCCCAAAAAAACCCACCCAGGCTTTAAGTTATGTATATTGATATTAAACTATGAAGGAAAAGAGTGTAATTCTGGGGTTTAGGGTGGGTTGGTTTTTTTTTTTTTTTTATTTTTGTTACTTGAGTAGTTCGGTATGAAACACAGCTTACTCTTACCTTTGCTGCTTATCACTCAGCCAGCAGGTAGAGTATTTGCAAAGCAAATTTTAAGGCTGAAGATTTACAAGTTTGCATGAGAAAAGGAAACCCGGTTTTAGCACTTGGTGTATGATGCATGTGGAGTCTGCGGGAGCCCTCTCCTGGAGATCAAACTCTGTGCTGAGGATTTGGGCTGGAGGGGGACTCCTGGGTGATGCCCACAACCCAGCTTGTCCTTGGATTTCTTTGCTTTGGGATGTTTTTGTGGTGCAGAGGGAGTTCAAACACTGAGCCACTCCTCTGTTAGAACTTCTTTGAAATCACAGTGGGTCTTTCAAGTGATTCCCATATTGGGAAGGATGTCTAGTTACCAAATGGCTTTTACCCAAAAAGCAGTCAGCAGAGCTACTGGCCTCACACACTGAAAGTTTTCAACAGAGTTCTGTCAGTACTGTCAGGTTTCCCTGCCCCATTGAGGGTGGTTTCAAGTCCCATCAGAGCCAGGAGGGTGCAGTCTCCATGGATTTCTATTTTTGTTTACATTCATCCCCACGCTGCAGCCAAAATTGCATTTTCATAGTTCAGCATTTAATTTGCCTGCAGCACACAGGGAGGGTACCTTGGTCATGCTGAGAGCCCTGCAGCACTCCAGACACAATTCTTTTTTGCCCATTGCATCTTTGCACAGGTAAGAGCCAGAGCGAAGTCACTGTGGAAGAAGGAATTAAAATCCTGTGCTCATCCCCTGTCTCACATCTGCTGTTGGTGCTATCAGGATCCCCCATTCAGAGCTCCTGGTTGGAAAAAATAATTAATGAGGCACTTTATACAGAGGCTGCCTGTGACTTAGCTCTTCTGAGGAGGAAAAAGAATTGTGAAGAGCATCTGAAATGCAAACAGAGTGAAGTTAAGCCAGCTCCCCAAACCTACTGCTGATGTTAGGCTGGAGTCTGTGAGAGTCAGCCTTACTGTCTGTCCTACACACCTGGATGTGATTTATTTGCAGAGGAGCTCTCTAGAGGGCTCCCCTCATTCCAGGAAGGAGCATGTGCAAGCACTGAGTCTGTAGCTTGATTAAGCAGTATGGTTTTTAGCTGGTTTTGTGAAGCTTAGGTGGGTTTTCCTAGTGGGATGGCAGCTTTTGGGGTTCTTTTCCTACACAGGTGATGCAGGGGTGTCCTCAGTAAAAAAGAAAGACTTGCTTTTTGTCAGCAGAATTGTCAGTCCATAGGTGCTGGAATGGGACAGCACTGGTGAGGGATGGAGATGGGGAGACAGCAAGCCAAAGGAACCAGCAACACTCTCCAAACTTTGTGTATTTTGGGATGCTCCCTCATATTGGCCCAAATACCAGTAGCCTCAAGACAGGAAATCCTGAGTATTAATTCAAGTGAGAGCTTGGTGTAGTTCACAGTTGTTTTCATGATGATGTAATTTAATTTCTTGTTGCTGTAATGAAAATCTAATTTGTCTGAAATTAAATGGATTGTAAAGCCTTGTAGTTTACCTAGACAACATTTAAGCTAAATGTAATGAATGGAAATGAGCATTAGAGGCAGTGGATGTTCTGTGTAGGGCAGGAGTTGGACTTGGTGATTCTTGTGGGTCTATTGCAACTCTGGATATTCCACAAGTCCATGTTACAGCTTCTACATCAACACAGGTACAGTTCTACAGGTTTTCTGACTTCTGAAAGTCTGTCTGCTCACATAGTTTGTGGGATGAGAGGAGAACCAAATGAAGACAAGAATTATGTGAGATGTAAAATGATGTTGGAAATACGCAAAGCCAGTCAGACAGGTGCCTCTGTAACCCCTCAAGAACCTGCCCTCAGCACGGGCACCCCAGGTAGAGTCTGGGAGCTGCTCTGCTGTCTGTGTTTTCCCATGGTGGAGGGGGGTGAGCCTTGTCAGACCAGCTGGAGAAATGAATTCCAGAGAAAACCAGAAGGCATCCCACACAGCATCTCGGTTATTGAATGCAAAGCCTGGGATTTCCACCTAAAACTGCTTCCAGCTTCCATGCTCTTAGGGAAAATGGGGTAGGACTGAACCAGCCAACTCACAGAGCTGTGTATGGTTGTACATGGGGCAATACTTGGCTGGTATCATGACCTGAAAGGCAGCAATTGTAATTATTGACCTGATAATGTGCATCCCCTGCTTCAAACAATGCCTAAGAAAAGAACAGGCAATGCCAATGTGTGATTTTCCAGGTGGTCTTCGCAGGGAAATTGAGGCTGTGTTTGAAATGCCGAGGGCAGGGATCTTCCTTGTGAAGTTTGAATCAACTGCCTAAACACTTAGTTGGGGATGAAAATGCTTTGCAAAACAATTTTTACACTCAGAAAATCTCTGTATATGTTTAGATCTCGTGATACATTTTGCAAGCCGTTGCAACATCTTTTGTCTTTGTTGAATAGCAATTAATGAAAATTGGTCACTGTTGGGGGATGAAATCATGAATAAAAGATCAGGACCTGATATTCCTTACTCCTACCTGAAGGAAATGAATGTCATAGTGAAATAATGGAAAAATGAGACAGCAGGGACTCCTATGAGCAGTGGGGACAGTTTGTGTCCTCTGGGAGGAGGACTGTGGAGGATATTTAGAGGGAAGTGGGAGAAAGCCAGACCACCTGCACTGCAGAATTACTAGCCTGGAAACCTGAGCAGTTTCAAAGGTGTATTTCTGTGCTGTGCAGCACAAGCCTGTTTTTCTAACCAGACTTATTGAGAAATACATTTTTCCACCTATTTAAATCCATAAGATATTTTAAATATACACACATGGTAAGCAGTAAAATGATTTAAAGCTCTTCTAAATGAAAATAAAATTTTATAGTAATTCCTCTAGGTTTTGGACTGGGGCCTTGAAAAAGACGACTTGTGGCAGAGATAATCCTGCTTTGTGGTGTTTTGGTAGGACTACATGAGGATTATTCAGGATGTGAGTAAAATGGAGTTTAAAACATGGCAGTAATAATTAGGAGACTGGGACTTGGTCATGTGAAAAGAGTTTATTAAAAAAAATTATGTTCTCAGTTTGCTGAGGCATGGGATAAACTTACGATGGGAGTTGTTTGGTGGGTGAATTGTCTAATGATGCTTGAGGAGTGCTCCACCCAAGAGGGAGCGGTCCAGGGCGGTGGTGGGGAGTTACAGGCTTGGGGTGCAATAATGAAATTCAGGAATCAGTTGAAAGTGCCTGCTAGAGCAGCTTAGCCCTGAGAGATTGTGCCAGAGGTATCATCATTGCTGGTGGAAAAGTGCTGCTTAGTGTCCTTGCTAGCAGACAGGAAGCAATTGAGGATGAGGATTGTACAGCTGGCAAAGATGGAAATGCCCTTAAAGTCTTGATGATTTTTCATTTCTGCAATCTCAGCAGCGGAATTAGTAGATGGCCAAGCTCTGCTCTATCCCAAGTTGTGTGTCAAGACTACTTTTTTTTACAATTTGCAGAAGTGGAAAGATTTCAAGCACCTAACACCAGTAATTTCAACAGGTGCATCTCCAAAACAATCCAGCATATGAAAAATTGAACTTCTCTGAAGATTGTTTTTTCTTAAAGATATTTGGTATGCTTGACCATATCCTGGCTACCCATTTCTATAAACAGACATCTCTCCAGAGGCTTTGTAGTCATTTGCTTTGGATTTGTTTGTTTAAATGCAGTTTCTTCCTTCCCTTCTTTTCCATCTCTTTCCTCCCCCAGGCAGGTGGGACCCCAGCAGAGGGCACAGTGGCTGTGACCCTGTGGCACCCAGGATGCACTCTGTGGATTTCCTCATTGTTTAGGAAGTTTTTCCAGGCAGACCTTTGTTGTTCTTTTGAGGTGACAGTGAAAGCTATTACTTGATGTCTGTAACAGACTTCTTTCTAGCCATTTGTTTACTTAGGAATTTCAGTGGGGTGGTAATTAAGTCAGGATTCTGCACAATGATCGCACGCTGTTGGTGCGT